GTCTACACCTTCCGGAGACTTCACTGAAGACATAAGAAGATAAAGTGCTCAAGCAGAATTCTCTCTCCACCTACAGCAGTGACTGGGGCCACTGGCATGGCCCAGATGCCAGCGGAGGGCACAATGGCGAAGCCCCACGTAACTCGTTACCAAATTCGAGAGTTAAACGATCATTTATGGCATCACACTATTGTTCTCCCCTAGTTATTGTCCACTTGGAAAGAGGCAGAACCCACCCCATTACCCGCTTGAAACCACTGGACGACATCCAGACTGAAGTAAAGTCAGTTTTTGAGAAGGAATGTTACTCGCAATGCCTAACGATTTCCTCCAATCTGTGGGAGCATAATCGGCGCAACAGTTCAATGTACCGGACCAGCGCTCAAATACCGTTCAGTGACGCCCCAGGGAGCACCTTTAGCAATGTGGCTGCTAAGTCCAGGCTTAGAACGCCCAAGTAACTAGTTCCCGATCTTGGCAACCACGCGACGAATAGAGTTGGAACGCCACTCCCAATCCCTGAACTCCGGTCGCCAGCGGACACGGACACGAGCCAAGAACCCAAATGAGGCAGTGATAGCTCTTGCGCCGGATATAACCTAAGGTCCAGACGCATGACCCGTCAAGATGCACTATCCATCCGACCGAGCTGAAACTCAAATAATGCCGCAGACGTCCCAGTCTGTAACAGCAAAACCTGGGAATTACGGGTATCGAGTCCAACCTTTATGTCTACGATAAAGGTACCATGTTTGTTCAAATAATTTTTAAGCCTACGGAAACAGAAAAGACCAAAAGACGGTTAAATTGCGTCACACCTTATAGTTTCAAAAGCATTCCACCAGTGTATGCTGTACACGGTCCTTTAGCGAATCGATGAAACCTAGAAATAAGGAAGATCCCTTTGAACAGAATCAGAAATCTTAATTTTACAATCATGACTCAAAGGCATAGAGCTTTCATCATTGTGGGTCCGGCAAACGCCTACCTTTTGCACCACGGTGACACAACAACTCCAGTCCATGAATGAGATGCCTAAAAATAGAAAGTTCCGTTATCAAATGACATTCAGAGAATGCTTTTCTATCATCTAATCAAAAATGGCAAATAAGCATTATGTTTTAAGGTCTCACTTACCCATTCTCGATATCGAGAACGTCACTAAAAAGAACAATGCTTGCATAAACCACTGTTTGAGGAAAAGTCAGGCATACCGGATATCAAGGCTTCATAGTAGCATATAAGACATCGTCTGGCACATACCTCCAAAGTGGATGCAGGTTAGGTCTTGTCGATAGGGCAGGTAAAACTACACCTCATACCGAGCTGACTGCATGGTGGTATATCCAACAAGCAATTTGCGGCTCTTCCAGAGAAATGTCGGGAAAAGTATCGAATCAATCTTGTAGGATAAAGCGGAACACCTCGTAGATACAAGACTGCCTACAAGATTGGCGCTAGTGGCTATCGAAGGTGCCCATGACCAAGTTGAGAAGTATGAGTGACAAATGTGCTGAATTCCACACACGCGAATGAGGCGAAGGCTGGAAGCGAATACAAAAGACCCAAACCAGCAGACAGATCACCCATCCCTCCGCCGTATTTCAACAGCAAGCCCAACCGATAGCTAACTGCTGAGAAATAAGTCCCACGCTCACTTCTATAGCCCTGACTCAAACAGTTCAGGCATTAATTTTTTTCACAATTATGTGATAATAATCACCGACTTTGGTAAGGATGTGATTATGGAAAACGCGCATCAAGGGCGGTTCAAATACGAACATGGCAAAAATATGTTTTCTTAGAAGTGTGTTACAAAAAAATGAAATTGCGAATGGGTTACGTGTAATCCTCTGGCAATATTCATCAAACTACTCCTCTTCTTATTGATGTGTTTTATGTCATTGTTGGGATTCGAGTTACCCATAAGTAACATGAAATGCACTTACTCTATGATCAGTATCTGAGCATTTTCATGAGTTCATTGTTTAGGTTATGTAATAGATTGGTCAGTCTTCACATAAGCTTTTATTGTGATTATCACCGCGTGCTTTTTGAATTTTTGCCATATGTTTGTCGTGCCATGTCATTGTAACTACCTTCAAAATTGTGGAATTACAAAGGTATTTTGATAAAATGTTTAACTTACTAAGTAGTGTGAATATGATCCAATAAATTCACAGACCCCAATCTTCTGTGTTTGGTGTTTTTTCAGACTGTGCAAGACGTTTATCTCATTCGGAAAGCCACGAAATCGGTTTGCATTTTTGAATCCAAGGTCTTTTGCACACACCATGACGCTAAGAGGAGAACGACGCTGTGAGGGCGACTGCCAGTGCGCGGCGCGGTGATCTGAAGCGCCATCAGTGAGCCATGGATCCTGTTAGGCATATCTTAGGGATTCGGGTCTTTTGGCTTGATTACGAGAGTTTAATTTCATTTTAACTGATTAAAACCTAAAGAACAAGCCTGCATGCGCTTGAGAGAGCAGCTGACATAGACGTTAAGCAAAAATTCAGCGTCGACCCAACCCTAGAGTGCGTGCCTTATGATACTGTAGTTGGTACTAGGATATCGTGATGACGGCTTTTCCCTTTTGTTTATATGAACTCGCCAATAATTTTTTTTTTTGGACGGTGCTCCAAGTTTTGAACGGGTTAAAAGACTCGATTAACTAGTATTTCGCCTGCTTTTCTGGCCATTTAATAAAGCGGGTAAGGGTTTAGCAAGAACCCCTCATGCTGTAAACATAATGCCACTGTCGCGACTACTAAGCCAGAATCTCTGATTCGATTAAAGCGAATTTCTTAATTTTGAGGCTATAAATGGACCCTGAGGGACAGTTAAATGCAATAGGATTGTGGTATACTGATGCATTGTCAGAAATCCAAGGGACTGTAGTTAGTGAGGGGTCTCCAACATTATTGACTCCTCTGTACTCACCACTTTAATGGTGCCAAGATGGACAATTTAATTTGTATCAATTTTTAGTGGAATTTTGATGAAAGTGAGCATTTTTTTTCGAGCGAAATTCTGTAACGTAGCAGTGTTAGGATAGATCAACCACTTCTTCGGTATGCTTGTATAGGTTCAATTTAAGCAATTTAGTCCATTTAAGCACGGACTTGACTGTAATTGTTTGCTCTGCCATTTGCACATCGTTCTGCACTGTGGCAGGAAGACTTTGACAGTGTTGTGCCCATTTCTTTACCCGCAGTTTCTATGCCCGTCTAATTTTCCTTATGTTGCAAGGCTAGGCCAGTTTTTCTTATTCTTTATCTATCCACCGCACTGTGACTATTTACACCGGCACAAAGTGTCTAGGCTTTTAACCGTCGCCATTAATAAGCGCTGGTGGACTACTTTTCGGCATCCATTATATGAGAAACAAAGTACACAGTACGTAAATAAAAAGATCTGAGACCCTGAGATGTCAGAAACGTATTAGAGCTATTTCATTATCACCTCCGCGACAACCGAGTTTTTCTCTCTCCTCCAAAGTGAATTATGAACGCTTTTTTGCCTCCTCTGATGCTCAAATTGAAATTATTCGAGGGTAACTGAAATTTACTTGCCTGAGGGAGAAGGAGAAGTTTGACAACCCATCGGGTCGGAAAGAGAATGACCACAACAGGCTAAAAAACTTCTCGTTATCGGCAGATTGAGGGTATGACCAAAGGCAGACAGAACCTACTTCGACCTACCCCCAAAAATGTTGTGGAATTTTGGCTCTGTGGTGATGCGACTGTCAAAGTCGTTTAAGCACCGGGATGTATCAAGTCGCGAATTCGTGGCTAAGTGACACTTTAGCCAATAAGGTTGGTGAGAAGGCCTAATTTTGTATCAGATTGGCATGGTACGTCCATCAAGAGGATTTATTTATCCATCTGTTGGTGTTTAAAGCTAAGCTGGTGGATGGGGTGGTAGTTAGGACAAGGCCACTTCCAGCTTCGATATCTGGGTCCATACTTAGACTAAAACCTCCTCTTCCGGATACAAAGTGGATCTTTATGCCATACTTATCTCTAAGTGGAAATTTTAGTATTTTTTGCCTTCATTTGTGAATATCATCGCCACATCGCCTACGTAAATAACCACTTCTTAATTGCAGTTTGGATCAGTTTTGAATTCAACCAGGCTGTGGAAGTCCTCACAATATTTCAAATGGATGTCAAAGTTCTGCTCAATTCTGGTTTCTGCTACCTTCTGCATTAAATCCGAGCAGCATCTTCCTTTGTGAAATACCTCATCGCTTGGTGGACATTG